TAATAATTAATTCTTTTAAATTTTTATGTTTTATTTTTAAATTTATCATCAACTATTTTTAATTTACTTGATTTATTTTCTTTTAGTACATCTTGTACAAGGATTTATTGAAAAAAAATACTACGTAAAAACTTCAAGTGTTGAGCAAGGAAAAGTGTGTTACATTGTTCAAATAAATATAAAAGTATTAGATAGTAGACATACTTCTTTTCTTGTAGCATGCATACACGTTTTTAATTGATTATCTGAAGTTGTAAGCAGTTTGTCAAAGTATATAGAAAATAGCTGTAAATAAAATTAGTTCGCAGCAGAGGAGGTTTCGAGAAATAGAAATTCGCGTGCGTGAATGTATGCTGTGCACACGTGTATAGGTAGTATGTATCTGGAAGGATGCGACTGTCCTACTTAGGAGTCACACAACGCTATGCGGATAACGCTCAACCCACTGTTGGTGGGAAGGCAAACTACAAAAGTCGCAATAATACATGCATATACAAATACACAATATATAAACACACAACGCACACATATAAAAATAAAAATATACAAATACAGTTACTCCTAAAAATATATGGACACTATATAAACTTGCCTTTCTAGTGATGTATTTCGGTTAATTATAAAAGGATTGGGTTGATGTTTTTTCGTTATGAAATGTCATTTATTATATTTTGTAATTACATATTGTTAGTTTAATGCATCTTTGTATATGACATTGTAATACAAATTAATCGAAATAATGTCCAATTGCTATGTTATACAAATATTCGAACATTTAGCAAAAATGAATATTTTGAATATTCATGGTATAATGTTTATATTATTTATATTCATAATATTTAAGATATGAATATTTTTGTCTACGCTGTGTTTAATGGTTGTTTTGTTAGTGCCAGAATATTTTTAGGAGTAGGTAACTGTACATAGAAAGATAAACATATAAACATGCAAATTTAATAACACATGAATACATGAACATATGAATGCCAGAGCACATGAATGCCTGAGCACATGAATACGTAAATGTAGTATAAATTTTCAGCTTTACAGTTTAGAAAATAGATTTGGTTTATACCAACATTTAATTCTTTTCATAAATGTACGATACATATCTTGTGTTTGGACTTAAGGAATGTTTTCACGTAATGCTAAATCGTGTCTTTTACTGTCACGACTTGTCGTTGTAAAAATTTGAAGTCGCATTGCCATGACACTGAATTTCGCGTCAGGAAATCAAATCATTTTGATTTTTATGTGACATTTGTAGGTAGTGTCACACACTGTACTTGGTGAAAACTGCATTATCTTGTGTTGTAGTCCGTATGAAAGTATGAGGGTTTAAGTCTTCACTTTACTGATTTTGAAATTATTCAAAATATATAGGTTTGAAATTTTCCTCAATTTGTACAACTACTTTCACAAAGAAACTTTTATTTCCGCAACTATTGAACGTACGAACCTCGATTTTTTCGATTTAATCGTAAACGATTGTCCTTTTCAATTAATTTTTTATTTTATTCGTAAAATCATTGTGGCAGTACCAAAACATTACAAATGTTTTTATTTTACAAATTAAAAAGAAATGAAAAAAACAAGTGAGAAAAACTTCAACGTACTAAAATAGAGGAACTCACTCATTTTACGAGAATACGAAAATAAAGCAAACATTAAACTTTTTCTGACTCCAATTATGTATTTATGAAACTAAAACTGCACGAATTTTTAGATAACCTTAATAGATAATTTATAGTGTATTTCGGTAATTTGTAGTGTATATTGTAGTATATTGTTACGTCCGCAACGTATTCTGTTCTCGGGGAAAATAAGGCAAACTAATAAATTTATTAAAGCAATTCAGTTAGCTCTCGAACGTTAGACAAGTATTTTCAAACAATGCAATAGAGGGCCACCCAGGTCCAGTGCAGTAGTATGAGCATGAACCAGATCGCGCCACTCGGAATCGCACAAATTCTCGACTTTGACTAAAGTTCTGACTTTTGCCTGTGATCGATTTAAAGTGGAATGTTTCTATCGTGACAATATGTACTTAGTTTTTACCATGTACAAGCTGCAAAAAAATGAATTGTCATAGCTTTAGAGGGCAAATCTACACTCCTGAATTGTTAGACATTTATAAAGAAAACTAACCGCAAAATTTTGTATAACATTGAAAATTAATGTTACACTTTTTTTTTACATCGATGTATTCTGCTCGACGAGAAGTGAAAAAGTTTCAAGGGCGCCATATGCCGCAAACAAATAATTTTCGAGATAAACGTTCACAAATTTTTGACAATGATTGATTGTGTAAAGTTAGTCGTATAGACGAGGGACAACTACATACCTCTGCTCTGCCATTTGGTAGAATCTAGCCACGTGGCACACGCTCGATATAATAGTGTACGTGCTCCTACCAAACGAAGCGTCGTTTAAAAGGACAACAGGGTTTAAAAGATGCACTGATTCGGTATACAATACAAATTTTCGGGCCTGTCTTCCAGTTAGTGCGTCCCTTGCAACTTAAACGTCGATTGCATAGGGGCATGCGCAGCATTATACGAAGCGTCAGCTACGCGGCTATGTATCTGGCAAAGGGTAGTAGGTCCTAGTCTATGCGTATAACTCTACCAATCAAATCGTTGCCAAAAGTTTATCAACCTTTATCTCAAGAACTATTTGTTTGCGGCATATGGCTCCTTTCAAACTTTTTTCTCTTCTTACAGAGCAGAATACGTTGATGTAAAAAAAAAATGTAACATTAATTGTCAATGTTATAAGCAATTTTCGCAATTTTTTTTTTACAAATCTCCATCGATTCAGGGATATAGATTCACTCTTTTAAGCAAGGATAATTAATTTTTTTACAGGCTGTACAGTATGTGACACTGCCTAAGTATAATACAAATGTCACACGAAAATCAGAATAATTTTCAGCAAAAACCAATGTCATGACAATGCGACTTCCAGTTTTCACGACGTCAAATGTCATGACAAAACGTTCCTTTAGAATATACATACAGGGTACAACTAGCAATCACGGTACAACTGGGCAGGGGGTGATTCCTCGTGAAAAAATAAGTCGAAAGTATAGAATAAAGTTTTTGTATATATGAGGTTAGGTTTTCAAGAAAAACGACTTTGAAAATCTATCCGGTACACG